GCCAAGTCAGCGTTTCTGGACAAGAAATACCCACAAGGCCACCCAAAAGAAATAGTTTTTTAACCGGCAGGACTTAAATATGCAACAACTTGCCTCCTTATAAAAACAGTAAACTACAGATCAAAAAGAAATGTCACTAGTTGCCTCAGACCTTCCCAAAAATGGAGGCAGAAGAGCTCTACTTTAAGCCAGACTTCACCTGCCTGAGCCTGTTTTTCTGTAACAGTGGGGTCCTACCTTGGAAAAACGTTAGGATTAAATGAGCACTGCCCAAGAGCTTAATTCAGTTGCTACTACCGAGTAGACGCTAAACACACGACAGCTAATTGTCCCTATTAGGCCTGGGATTTAGGCAGGATGTTGGAGGGCCGCAACCCAGCCCGCACTTACGATGATCTTAAGGAAGTAGTTGGACTTCCAGGTCGCCCTGTCTTCCCTGGGCATCACGGCGGTGCGTCAGGGATTGCCACGCAGGGTTTAAAGACGATGTCACTGGCGGAAGAGAGGGAGCTCAGACTAGGTTTAAATCCTGGTCACCCGCCAGCTAGCCCGGCCGGGATCAGGCCCGAGGCCTATACTGAGCAAGCCACGCGCCAGCGTCCGCCGCACAGCCACCGCCACAATTTGGGGCGCGCAATACCCCAGGCCGGACAGGCCCCAACCCCAAGGATCCCATTCCGCCCCTAGGGCCAAAACCAAAAGACTCAGGCCGTGGAGTTGATTCCGACTCACAGGGGCCCTACAGGACAGAGTAGAACTGCCCCATAGAATTCCCAAGGCTGTAAATCTTTATGGAAGCAAACTGCCACATCTCTCTCCTGCGGTGCGGCTGACTGGTTCAAAGCCGAGCACTTTAGCCACTGTGCCACCACAGAAACCCCCATAATTCCCACAACGCTGCTACAAGCGCTGCCCAGACGGCCGGACGAACCTCTCACGAGGACGCCTGGCGAGAGAAAGAACTCCCGCCCGGGCCGCAACTTTTATACCCAAAAGAAGCAGCCAATCAGAGGCCGAGGACAGCGTCCCCCGCCTATTGGTTGGCTCAGTCTCCTGTTTGTAGAGGCGGAACTGATGTAGACAGCCATTGGATGATGTCTCTGCCACTCTAGCCAATGGGAAGCCGTCTTTCAAAAAACAGTAGTTAAGGAACGCGCTGCCTGGGTTTGAGGGAGCTTTCTCGGCGCTGCCTCCCTCTGCTGGGCTGGAGGTGCATTCTGGTAGGGAGAAGAGGGCGTCAGTTGACAGGTCGCGTGTCCACCGACACCTGGCCAAGTCACGAACTACAGAGTAGTTGCTAAGAAGGGCCTATAGAAGTAATTGCACATAGTTTAGAAACAGAATAGGCTTCTACCTTCTACTTTATCTCCCCTACGGCTTTTTCTTTCCGCCAGCAATTAAGAGGGATCTTTTAAAAACCTAAGTCAAAACCTGTCCTCATCTGCTCAAAACTCTTCCCCATTTCACTCAGAAGAAGCCCAAAACTTAAATGACCTACAAGGCTCTACATGATCTGCCTCCACCACTCTTCTACTCCCATCTATTTTCCAGCCAGACGATGCTGTTTGCTGTTTTCTAGAACCATGCTTTCATTTCAGGGCTTTTGCAAGAGCTGCTCCCTCTCCCGGTGCTCTGGTGGCGCAGTGGTTAAAAGCTCGGCGGCTAACCTAAAGGTCAGCAGATGGAATCCACCATTCGCTCCTTGGAAACCCTATAGCGCAGTTCTACGCTGTCCTATAGGATCACCATGAGTCGGAATGGACCCAACGGCAATGGGTTAGGTTATTCCCTCTCCCTGTAACACCCTTTGCTCATAACCTGACTCACCTCCGTCAACTATCACCTACCTGCTCAATGAAACCTGTCCCTCACTCCCGCTCTCCCTTACCCTATTCTATTTTCTCAGTAGCACTTACACCACTTACACCTCCTAACACACTATATAATGTACTTATTGCATTATCATTCATTGTCCGTCTCTCCCTGCAGTAATGCAAGCTACACAGGGCAGAGATTTTTGTCCTTGCCTGGTACATAAAAAAGAAAGAAAAAAAAAAGCCCCAACCTGTTACCATCTAGTCGATTCCAACTCATGGAATTACATGGTGTTAAAAGTAGAACTGCTCCATAGGATTTTTCTTGACTGTAATCTTTATGGACGATCGTCACGCCTTTCTTCCATAGTGCCGCTGGAGGGGTTCAAACCACTGACCTTTCGGTTAGTAGCTAAGCGCAGGTTGTTTGCACCACCTGGAGACATGGCACATAGTAGGTACTTAGTTCTCACTTGTTGAATGAATGAATGCAGAGTTTGCAGTCAGAAAACATGGATCTATATTCTTGTTCTACCATTTGCTAGCTGTGTCATCTTAGGAAATGATTTCACCTTGCTGAACCTGCTTCCATTCCCTTATCTGTAAGATGGAGAAGATAATAGCACACACATTCTAGAGCTGTTATGATGATTAAATGAGATATAATTTGTGTTAAGACTTACCATATTTCCTGAAATGTAGTAGGAAGTCAATAAATGTTAGTTTCTTTTATTATTCATTCATTCATTCAACACTTACTCTAACACTTATGCTATGTACATTTTTTTTAATGAATGAAATTAGATCCTAGGGCAGAGGGGTGTTCCCCACTGTCTCCACCCTTTTCAGGTGGCCAAATTAGAAATTTCCAGTGAGTTCATCTGGACCAAGTAATATGAACTGTAAAATTGTTGCCTGTCTGTATGTGGTTTCAAGCCCTGTTTCTCTAAATTTCGCGCCAACAAGGCTGATCTATGGTTGAAGCTTTAATTTTCCTGTCCCATGTTTAATTTGATGGAGGCAGTGGTGGTAGGTGGTGCAAATGGTTAACGTGCCTCGCTGCATTCAAGTCCATCCAGAGGCACCTCGGAAGAAAGGCCTGGCGATCTACATCCAAAAAACCAGTCATTGAAAACTCTATGGAGCACAGTTCTATTCTGACACACATGGAGTCACCATGAGTTGGAATCAACTCGACTTGAAGGCAACTGGTTACTGGTGTCTGATTTTGCTATAGAGTGCCTCTTTGTGCAGTCACTTATGAAGCCATCTTTTCAAGCCACTGTTAGGAGGAACTTCTAAAACCTGGTTAAATATCAAAATCACTCTAGGAGCTTTGTGAAAATATGAATTTCCAGGTCCTACTCCAGGCCCAGTGGATCAGAATCTACAGGAGTGTCCCATGAGCGCTCGACTACTAGCCGAAAGCACAGCTGTTCGAACCCACCCGGAGGTGCCTCAGAAGTCAGGCCTGGCAATCTGCTTCTAAAAGGTCATAGCCTTGAAAATCCTATGGAGCAGTTCTAATCTGCACATATGGGGTCACCATGAGTCTGAATGCACTCGACTCAATGGCAACTAACAAGAGTGTCTCTGAGGTGTCAGTGGTGGTTCAATAGCAGAATTCTCACCTTTCATGCTTCTTACCTTCCATGCAGGAGACCCAGGTTCAATTCCTGGCCAATGCACCTCATGCACAGCCACCACCCATCTGTCAGAGGAGGTTTGTGTGTTGCTATGATGTTGAATGGGTCTCTGGGGAGCTTCCAGACTAAGACGGACTGGGAAGAAAGGCCTGGCAATCTACTTCAATAAAAACCCTATGGATCACAACAGTCCAATCACCAACCAATCATGGGGATAGCACAGGACCAGGCAGCGTTTCGTTCCGACTCAACAGCAGCTAACAATCTGATGTCGGACCAGTCTGAGAACTGCTGGAGTCGATTACTGCTAGGATCCCTTTTTAATGACAGTGCATTACTGCATGCTCAGCAGTGTGTGAAGTACTTTGTGCGTATTACCGCTGTTAATCTTTGCAATAATCCTCTAAGGTAGGTATCAGTATTCCCATTTTACAGACAGAAAAATCCACACAGAAAAGTTAAATAATCTGCCCAAGTCCCTCAGCCAGTATGATGGTTTCAGACTTGAAATCCAGGAGCAAGTTCAAAGCCAATGGGCCTCACTAGGCTATACCGTCCCTTCTAACCCTGTGGCTGTCTCCCTCTAAACTCACTTTTCCAAGTATACAAACACTCACAGGGTACATTTCCAAGGACATCCTGGCTCTGATGACATAAATACCCTCCCTCTCTAATTATAGTACATCAGTATAATGGAATACCATGAAGCCATTAAAAAATGATGCAGATCTATATTTATTGACAAGGAAAATTGTCCACAAAGTACAGTTGAGTGAAAAAGCAAATTACAATGCAGTATACCATACCCATTTCTAGAAATGAAATGACTCCAACATGGGCTGGAAGAATAAACCAAGTAATTATTTTTCACTGAGAGCTGAAGGTAATTTTCACTGCTGGGCTCACTGTAGACTGGGCAGGATTTAGACTGGAGCTCAACATGCTGCTCTTGCAGGCCCATTCCAACAACAGGGAAACTGTGACACCACAGCCCACGTGGAACGAAGTTGAGCTGGAAGATAGCAGCTCCTGGGCCCCAGCATTCTGGCTCTTGGTTAAGAGCAACGCAGCATGCAAATATCGACATAACCACATGGGGACAGTAGAGTCCTATGTTCCTTCAGCTGGGAAGGTTCAGATACACCCACTGTGTTGTGATAGCCTGAGAGTGGTGGTGTCTGGCTCAACCCAGAAAAACGTGGTTGTGGTCGTAGTGGGATTGCCTTGTGCATGTGGGGGCGCGCTCTGTGAACCTCTTTCCTCACCTGTAAATGCGTGTAAGACCACTGACCCATGTGGGGCCCACTAATGGTGCTCCCCAGCCCCCCATCACCAAGGGCTGAGAAAAGACCAAAGCTCATGTGGGGAGCCAGGTCAGACCCACGGCCACAGATAAATGAGGTCTCAGGGATCCCTTTCCCTGGGCTTTTTGCCTCAAGTGAGGGAATATCAATGGTTTACCCCCAAACTGGTGACCCTTGTGAGATTTGGGAGGATTTTGTCTCCCTCCTGGGATTGAGAAGTTGTCATCTTAGACCACAAAGAAAAGGCACTAGCACAGGTGAAAATAATGGCAAATTTATTGGCAGAAATCACAGGAATTGAAATGGAGGAAAGCCAGGTTATAAGTTTATAGAAAAAAAAAAAAAATCAAAATCAAATCATCAAATAATCATTGACTCAGAGGGTGGACCCCAGAAGCCCCAGTCCCCCGGGGGAGGGCTGGGGCGGGTCACTGTAAACAGAGCAATAAGGCCCATGGGTGGAGGTGGAGACCACCAGCTGACCTTCCCAGAGCTGGGCTTCCAGCCCTGCATCGGAGGAGGGACCTCCTCTGAGACCCCAGGGCATTCAGCCTCTGCTATGAGGCTAGTAGGGTGGAGTTTCCTCACTTTAGACCCCTCTGGGGCCCCTTCCTGCTGACCAGAGACCCCAGGGCTGGCCTGCTCCTGTATCCTCCTTGGGGAAGAAAGCTCTGTGTCAGCCCAGGACCCTGTCTCTCTGTCCCAAGTCCTAGCAGGCCCCCCCGCAACAACCAGGACCATTTCTTCCTAGATCTCCTGGTGTCGAACTCACCTAAAAAGGAGAACCTGCACCCAGGCCCCAGGGAGGGCAAGACATTTGGGAAGTGATGCGCCCAGTGGAATCAAGAGCCAAAGAGGCCTTTATGGTCAAAACCAGATCTCAGCTTTCCTGAGAGGCAGAAGAGCGAGCCCCAGAGGAGTGGTGAGGAGGCTGAGAACATTCTGTGGGTTCTCTGTGTTGCCAGAAAGTTCACAGCAGAGCGGGAGCTCCAAATGGCTTACTGAGATGGGAAATAGCACCCCAAAGTGCACTTCCCCCTTCTCCTCCCACCAGGAACAGGACAGACAGGGTTCTGAATTCTAGGGCCCAAAGGACAAGACACCCTCAGGCCAGTCTAAGAGCTTATTGGCCTGGGCAGTAGAAAGGGGTTTCAAGATACAGCAGTTTATAAAACAGTCCTGGTGAGCTGTGAAGTGAAAGAAGGGGAGTCGCGGAGCTGCTCCCAGTTCACCTGCTAGTGCTAAGAAAAAAACATCAATATAAATTGCTTCCCCACCCCAAGCTCTCAGTACAAAGCAGACTCCACGCCAAATGCCACCATCAGCAACAGGACCAGTGGCAGCAGACAAGGAGGAGAGTACAAAAGGGAACGTCTTTAAAATCTCTGCAAAATCATCTTGTATAAGGTAAAAGCAACTTGGCCTATATGAATTCAAAACTCAGTGTAGAAATCTATCAAAGTCGGTCCAGTGTCCAGGCACGGGGTGATGCTCCCCAACTCACGCCGTCCCCAGAGACGGAGGAAGTGACTAGAAAACATTATTGCTGGAGAGGCCTTTCTCAGTAGAACGAGAGCAGTTAAAAAAGGGGAGGTCGGGGTACAAGGTAGTGGGGGGCAGTTGCCCAGGCCCAGGGAAACTGGAAGGGCCGGAGGAGGAGAAGGGACCTTCCGTGGTCCCTCAGCTGCTCCACCCGTGGATGGATGGATGTATGCTGGCATTGTCTGGAGGAAGCGGCGTGCCCCCCCAATACTTTCAGAACAAGGATAATTATAATGAGGTCAGGGGGAAATAAGGATAAAAAGAGATCCCATCTGACCCTGCCTGCCCTCCCCCAGCTCCACTGCCGAAATATGAGTAAGAAATGGCTCCAGTGTGGGGTGCTGGCTTGGCCAGGCCGGTTCTTGGGGACACACAGGGTATGTGGTGAGGAGGATGGCCAGGGGGCCGACACCAGCTTGGGCAGAGCTGCAGGTGGAGGGAGGGGGCCAGAGAGGCTCCGGCAGGGGTGAAGGAGAGCAGGCGGGACCCTCAGGGCCTCCATTCCCTCTTACACCGGCTGAGGACACGGGTTCCAGTTTCAGGCGGGTTTGCCCCTTCACCCCTGGGCTAGGTCTCTGGGTCACAGTAGCAGTTGGGGGCTGGGCCAGGGTTGGGGCAGCTGAGGGAGGAGGGGGCCTAGCAGAAGAGCTTGAGGAAGCAGTTCTGACAGTAAGGCTTGTCGTTCTGCTCCTTGAAGGTGCCCTTGTTGAGCTGCTTGAGGCAGAAGGCACAGACGAAGTGCTCTGGGTGGAACTTCTTGGCCATGGCGGTGATGCAGCGGCCCGTGATGGGCTTCTGGCAGCCGGAGCAGAGCGAGCCGCGTCGCTCGTGGTAGTGCACCTCACAGTAGGGCTGCCCGTCATGCTCAAAGAAGCTGCCGTTGATGAAGGGCGTGAAGCACTCCTGCGGGACAGAAGAGGGTTGGGGCACGGGGAAGGGGGCTCAGGTGGCTGTTCCTTTGGGATGGAACAGGTGGCCAGGGCAGCTCTTAGGGTGAGGGGCAGAAAACAATCCTCATTGTCACACTCATAATGACACCCACTAGGCAAGCATTTCCTGTGTGCCAAGTGCTGTGCTAAATGCTTATTTCATTCTCCCAACATAGGAGGCAAAAGAGGCATAGAATTGATGTGACTAGTCCAAGGTCACACAGCCTGGAGTCAAACACAGGTCTGACTCCTGTGCACTTCACCAGGAGGCTGTAGCAGTATTCCAGGAAACCATGGAGCCGGAAAAGGGTTCTGTGGTCAAACTGCATCCTAGATCCTACATTTGGAGATTCACCAGCACATCTGCGTATAAAGGTTCTAAGAAGTCCTGCAGTGAACAGTGTTCCCAAACATATTTAATCAAAGAGCCCTTGCTGAATCCCAAGTATCATCTTGTGGGCCCCTGGTATCCCGCAGAATGCAGTGTGGATACCACTGCCCAGTACCACTGAGGCTGTGAAATACTTGCATTATCTTAATCTTATTTAATTCTCACATTCTACTTCCTCCAGATATGACCACCCCCGGGCCGCCTCACTGGACTGGGCTGGGGGACAGGTCTACCTTGTTCCAGCCTCATACATGCCTTCTTGGCCTATTATCTCCTGGACTTGAGGAACCCTACTCCTGCCTGTTCACCCAATTAACACCCACAATGAGGCCTCCGTGCTGGATTCAGAAAGCACACTAGGGTGGGGCCCTTCCCTCCCCACAGCCTGCTCCGGCCCCTCCGGCCACGGGGGGCTCCTTACCCGGCACACGAAGCACTCAGGATGCCACAGGGTGTTGAGGGCCGAGATATAGTTCTCCAGGATGGCCCGGGCACAGCCGCCACACTTGGGTGCGAACATGTCAAAGTAATCCTTCCGGCAGTAGGCCTTGCCATCTTTCTCATGGAACCCTGGGGGCGGGGGTAGGGAGCAGAGTTAGGGCCTCTGGGGGTGGTGGAGCCACCCTGACTCCAACATCCATGAAGTCACCTCCCCCATCCCTGCCCCGCCTCCCCACCCTTCAGGGAAGTAGTGGGTGAGGCAGGTTGTCAGTACCTTCAGGACCAAAGAAAGCCCCACACTGGGCACAGAAGAAGTGTTCAGGGTGCCACGTCCGGTCAAGGGCTGTCACCACTTTCTGTAAAAGGATAGTGTGGGGTCAAAGCCAAGCCTCCGGCCCCACAGTACGGATCCCACCACAGGGACTCACAGGAAAGGCCACCTCCTGGACCCCAGACCCTGCCTAGATGACCAGGGAAAGAGCAAACCTCTCCCAAGATCACAGTCTCTCCTAACTGTGCTATTAACACCACTAAGAAGTAAGATTTACTGAGTGATGACACGCCAGACACACTCTCTCCTTTAATTCTCACTCGGGGTCCAGATTATAGGTTCTGTTGTGATCTCCATTTCTAAGGGAAGAAACTCAGGCTCAGAGAGGCTAGGTACTTCCCTAACATCACACAGCTGAGAGCAAGGGAGCCGGCATTCAACTCTGGTCAGGGCTCCTAACCCCCTCCCCTGAGGTGGGTCTCGAGGACTGGAATCCAGGATGGGAGGTGGCAGGGAGGAGGGACTATCTCATGTGCAAGAAGACAGGCTCTGGGCTCAGGCTTGGGTTTGAACCCCAGTATCCTAACTGTAAGGAGCCCTGGTGGTGCAGTGGTTAAGCGCTCGGCTGCTACCCGAAAGGTCAGCGGTTCGAACCCACCAGCCACTCCAGTTCTACTCTGTCCTGCAGGGTCACTATGAGTCAGAATTGACAGCAAGGGGTTTGGGTTTTGGTCCTGGCCGTGTGAGCTCAGGCATGTGCTGCGGCCTCTGAGCCACGGGGACTCACGTCCAGGATGGGGCCGTTGCAGTAGTAGCAGCGCGGAGAGAAGAGGTTGTGATAGTCTTTTTCACAGTAGGGCTGGCCGTCCCTCTCAAAGAAGTTCCGGGACCCGATCTCCTCCTGGCAGTGGGTGCAGACAAAGTGCTCCGGGTGCCATGTCTTCCCCATGGCAGTCACGACCTGGGACAGGAGATGGAATGTGGTTCTCGGCCAAGGAGCAGAGGTCCCTGAGCCCACCTCTAACTCCCTCCCCTCCCACCATCCGCACCCCTAGTCACCTGCCCGGCGATGGGCTTCTTGCAGGCCCCGCAGACCCCTTTGGCGACCGTGGCAACCCCCAGTTTGTTCAGGTCGGACTGCAGGCTCCCCAGCATGCTGTCCAGCTGGCTCCCGGGCTTCGGGGTCCCCCCGGGGGGAGAGCTGCTTCCTGCTTTCCCCTGGGCCATGAACTATGGGGACAAGGAGAGGGCTGGTCAGGACTTCGGGGCTGGGGTGTCTCACGGCACTGGGGGCTTTTCTCCTCTTGGACAGGTGGGGTGACTGAGGCAAGAAGACCTGCCTCCTCCAGGGACCTGAAGAGCCAGGTCAGAGGGGCATCAGAGGGACAGACGGTTAGAGGGCTCGCTCTCTGCCCTTTGCGAGAGGAAGAACTCATGGTACCCGGCTGAGCCAACAAGCCCAGGGACAACAGGACCAGCGGGAAGCTGGGCTCCCAGCCTTGGCACTGACCCCTCCCTCGTCTTGCCCTTGACCACTCGGCCTGCTGTCCAAAGCCCAGCCGGCCGCCCAGCCCAGCTCTCCATCTGCTCTTTGCTCCAGGCCCTGGATCTTAGATGGGGGTAGAAAAGAGGAAGAGAATGTTTTTAAAAATCAGGAAAGAAAGAAAAAGTCCTCATCGTTGGATCAGTTCATAAAAGGGGGAAATCTGGATGAGAAAAAAGGATTTTTCTCCATCAGCAATACCAAAATCAAGAGAACAAATCTGGAGAACAGCCCAGAGAGAAAGAACCAGGAAGGGATGGAGAGGGAACCGGAAGGGAGCCAGCCAAGGCCAAAAGTCAGGACAGGTGAGCTGGGGACAGAGGGCAGAGGCCTCTCCAGACCCTGGGCCTGGGGCTGGAGAGGGGCTGGCGAGAAAGGGAGGAGCCGGTGCCTGGTTTCTGTTCTGGGAATGGCCTCATTGGATGGAGTCCTGGGGCAGTGCCCAGGGCTGTCAGGAAGGGGCAGGCAGAGGGGCGCCCACACAGGGGAGCAGGAGGGCAGCCAACCCCAAGGAGTGGCACGGCAACAGGTAAGTGGGAGTCCAGGCTTAAGGATGGACTACGGTTACTGTGGCGGGGCTAACAGATGGAGGGGACAGGGTACCAGTGTGTACGGGTGTGCAGGGTGGGGCTCAGGCATCAGGACAGGGACAGGTAGGGCGGCGCCAGGGCCCGGGGAGCCTGCCTGCACCGGGGGGAAGAGCGGGTCCTCGTCGGTCTGGCAGCCCACGGACCTCACAGGGGGCCTCACACTGTGGGGCACAGGGGCGGGAGGGGCAGGGCCCTGCGCAGCCTCATCGAGTGGGGGGCCGTCTCCCGCACTCTGGACCCCAGGAGAGCCCCAGGTATGAGCTGAGGGTCCTGGTGGAGGGGGAGCGGGCAGGCTGGGCAAAGGAGAAGAGCTGCTGGCCGAGGCGTCTTTGCGATGCTGGAGCAAAGGGACAGGAGGAGGAGGAGGAGAGGCCAGGACAGAGGTGGTTCTTCTCAGGGGGATGGGAGAGCCAGGAGGGAAGACAACCTGAGAAGAAAGGAGGGAGAGAGGTGAGGAAGACAGAAGAAAGCAGCTCAGTGATGGGGGCGACAGAGAGGTGATGTCCCCAGGCTCCCCGGCACCAAAACTGATGCCACCCTCACAAGACCCATCTCCCCTCCAGCCAGCGGTGGGGCCAGGAAGAATCTGGACACTGCTTCCCTGCCCGGCGGCCCTGGCCCTCCTCCCTGCTACCTTCTCCACAAGCTGCCCCCCAGCCCGCCTCCCGCGTGGCTGCACAGTGATGACGACGCCCTCCGTCAGCCAGTCCTCCACTGCAGGCCCTGCCACCGCCATGGCTTCCTCAGCCTCCAGCTGGATGCCCAGCCGCCCCTGCAGCTCTGCGATGAGCTGCTCCTGGGAGGGGGTCCTGCTCAGGGTGGCGGGGTCCAGCCGGAGGTGGGGGGAGGGCTCCCGGGACATGGGGTGCGCGTGGCCCGTCTCCCGGCTCCTCCTGATCACAGAGCGAATCTGAAGGGTGGGGAGGGGGACGCTGTCACAGCCCCACTCTGGGCTCAGGCACCAGGCTGCTCAATCCACACTCAGGTGCCCTGGCGGAGGTTAGGAGGAGGCAGGGCAAACACGCCAGAGAAGAGCCAAGCTGAGGTGCTGGTGGAGGTAGAGGCGGGAGGACCTGGGGCAAGACCAGGGCAGAGCCGACTCCCTCGGGAGTGCAGGCCTTGGGAGACCACTGAACCCAGGCAAGGCACTCAACTTCCAGGGGCCTCAGCTTCTCCATCCTCAAAATGGGGCAACAGTGTCTTCTTGGTCTACCTCACAGGGTTACCACAGGGATTATTTGAGAGAATGGAAGTGGAAGCTCCTAAAAGGCATAAAGCTTTTTTTTTTCTTTCTTTCCTTTTTTGATTTGCAATAGAAAATGCAATCTTTTCTTCCAGTAAAGCATTTAACCAGTTTTTGTTTTCACATATGAATGCTTTCATTTCTAGTTTATATTATGACCTGCTTGTTGATAGTGTTTTATTCCGTTTTTTAATTTTTGAAAGGGCATAAATTTTAATCAAACAAGAAACAAATAATATTATAACATCAGCTGTCACTTCCTGAGGAACTCTGAGCTGTGTTTTTAGCACATCCCAGGCATGGTCCCATTTCATCCTCCAGACAACCTTCAGGGGAAACGTTCTATTATTACCCCCATTTTAAAGATGAGAAAACTGAGGCTGGCGGAGGGGGGCTTGCCCAAGTGTTGGAGGCATGGTTTATATCCAGGTCTCTCTGATTCCAAAGCCCATGCTTTTAACCACTTCACGCACATTGGGATGTCAGAGGTAGCTCTTCTAAAGAAGAAAGCCGCGAACAAAAAGGAGGTGGGTTGTCACTAAGAGAAATCCTGGGGTCTAGAACCCGCCGCAGAGCCCTGGTGGTCAGCGGCGTGGCCACCAGGTCTCTGGATGTTCTGCCCAGTGGACATGCACGAAGGGGAGGCAGCATGCAGTTAGGACGAGCGGTAGGGGCCTTGCCACACGCAGGCCCGCCAAAGGTGAAGCGCAGCAGCTGTGCAAGCTGGCGCCTGCCTGGCTAGAGGTGGAAATCCTCTCCGTGGCTTTGGGTGTGTCCATGACCGTGACACGTGGAAGCTCCGGCTGCTCCTGCCCGGCCTCGGGAGCAGCTTCAGCAGTGCCCTCTGGACTCCTTGGGATCTCAGGTCCCTGGCTTGGCCTGATCAGGCTGCCCCTCTTGGGTGTCTCGCCACCTAGCTGCTCCTTCTCCACTGGGACAGGGCAGCCCCCTTCTGGGCCCCCTGGCTCTGGCCTTGCCTTCTCCTTCCACTCCCCACGCTCCTTTGTGAGACTCCACGTATCTGGGAAGATGGCCTGGCGATTCACGGCCACGACAGCTGGCTCAGTTACTTCCTGGAAGGTATACGCAGCTCCACAGGGAGTCTCAGGCCTGAGTGCCTCCAAAGCCCACACAGCCACAGCCTCCTCTGGGCACAAAGGGTTGGCCAGTGGCCCCTGGAGGTCTCCAGGCTCCTGGGGGCCTGCGCACCTCCCAGCTCGGGGAGGAGTGTGGCAGGGAGAAGCCGTGGAGAGCTCACCCTTCAAGTTCTGTGTATCTCTCTTGAAGCCCTCCCTCCAAACTCGAGCTGGACTCTCTGCACCAAGGTGCCCCAGAGAACCCTCTGCAGAGGGCGCCCTTGAGTTGGGGGTGTCCAGTGTCCCCCCAAGATTGCTGGGAGCCACGGGAGATGGAAGGTCCCATCCATTACCACTTTCCTCAACGCACAGGACTTCCAGGGTGTGGCCGCAGCCTCGAGGGGAGGGTTTAGTGGTGGATGGCAGGAGTACAGAGGGTGCAGGAGTAGGAGGAGGAGGAAGTGTGCTGTGTGGGGGTGGAGCTGAGCGGGGCAGCAGCCCCTGGGAGCTCAGAGCCACAGCCAAGGAGCTGGTCTGGAGGAGGAGAGAGACAAAGGCAGAGGGGAGATGAAGGGAGAGGTGAGATAGGATGCTCACTACAGGGTGGGCTTGCCTCGGGGGCTCAGAGAGTCAGTGTCTGCATTAGCTGAGGAGACAGCGAAGCTGAAGTATAGGGACTGCCCTTTGAAGAAGACCCAGGCCACAAAGATGGCTGTCCTGGCCCCACAACCCTGGCTCCCATCAAATGGAGGCAGCAGAAAGCAGCCACCACGGTGTGCCTACGGGGCTAGCCTAAGTCCCCAGTGGGCACAAGGGAGAGAAGGCTACTGGTGAGGCGGGCCACTGAGGGGATAAGGCTGGGGAAATGGGTGACCAAGGAGACCAGCTCAGGGCACAAACTGAGGAGAGGCAGCTGCCCTGCCCTCCTCAGACCTCAGCTTGAGCCTCGGATGTGTCCTTTCCAGACACTCCCAGCTTTCCTACTTCACACAGACCCCTGCTCTGGGGCACGGCTAAGAGCAGCGTGGCTTCTCCTTTCTGGGCATCGGACGCTGGCTGTCTCAGGAAGCAACCACGGCCTTAAAGGCACCAGGGCAGGGCTCCCTGAGGTGGGGCCCATGCCTGAACCCAACCTACTGGCTCCTGACTGTGGCTGCTCAGAATCCCTGTGACTGGGAGCTAGAGCCACAGCACCCAAGGGTCACAACCCCAGGTTCAACACCTCCGCCAGCCATGCGCCCAACCTCCATCATGAAACCCGAGCTGCAGAAAAGCTAGAAGGCACTGTCAGGGCCAAGAGCACACAGACCACCTGCTTCCCTTCTCATCTTCCCTTAGTCAAGCCCCAGTGGTCTCTAGCGGGCCCACGTGGAAGGCTGAATTCAGCAACTACCGTGGAGTTCTGTCAATATCAATTCCCATGGAGGTGCTGCCGGCAGACGCTGCATCCTCTAAATAAAACATCAGCCTGGCAGGGCTGGGGAGGCCAGAAGCAGAGGGGCAGGGATAGCTCATGCAGGACTGGCCTGGGAATCTGACGATTAGGGTTCCCCCACAGAAACAGCTTGTGAGAACTCAGGCCACAGAGAGAGTGAGGGAAGAAGTGATGAAGGTGGTGAAGGAGGCCTGTGGATGCAGGAGGCCAGAGGCAGAAAGAAACACGACGTGTTGAGGACAGCTAGCGTGGGAGACAGGGCTCCAGGGCAAATGACCTCTCAGGCACGGGATCCCAGGCCCCACAAGGCCCAGCAGGGAACGCCCTCCCCCATCAAGAACAGCCTCAACACAGGGCCCTTTGTCTGAGGCTCTGGGTGGCTGGGAGTGCCTGAGGAGGCAGGAATGTCCTTGCTGAGTGCCACTCTGCCTTCATGGGCAGCTGGGGCAGCGCAGTCCCCACGCAGCCTGGCCTCCATCCCCTGTATCCTGGCGAGGCCAGGGCACATGGGGCCCCGACTCAGGGCTGAGACACCCAAATACTGAGGGACTGAGTTCCAGCTACTCGCACTGAGGCAAGGGAAGAGAAGGATAGGGGAGAGAGAGGGGGCAGAGCAGGGAGGACCAGGGGCCATAGGGCACCTTAAAATCCGACAGCGAAGCCATCAGCTCGTCCAGCTCCCGGGTGGCCGAGGAGGCCGAGATGCGTGACTGCTGCTGGCTGGAGGTGACTCGCTGCAGGCTGCCCATCTCACCCTGGTTCACAGTGATGGCGGGGCTGCAGGGCAGGCAGAGCATCAGCAGGGGCCCCAGCCCCATGTTCCCCCAGAGTGACCCTCCCCACCGACACTGGGTCCCACCTTCCCCAACCTCAGGGAAGCCTACCAGCTCCCCCTGTCTCCTGGGCACTTGTCATTGGAGGGGTTGTCAGTCAGGGGGACAGACCTCTGAGATGGACTGACTTGTGAGAAGAGAGGCAGCTTCAGGGTACCTTTCCCAGGAAGACCCCCTGGGCCCTCCCAGCCAGGTAAAAGCTCAAATTACCCTACATGTTTCCTCCACAACACTGTACAGAGACGTGAGGACTCTGTTTCACAATAACACGGTAACAGTAAGAAGAGCTAACATTTACTAAAAACGTACTGTGTGTCTCATGTGCTGTGTGCCAGGAAACATTCCAAGGGCTTGCTTAACGTGTATTATTGGTTTAACCCTCATAGGTAGGCAGTCTTATCTCATTTCAAAGATGGGAAAACTAGGCTTGAGAGATGGCACTTAGTAAGTAGCAGAGCCAAGACCTGAACTCTAAGGTGTGGCTCTAAAGCCCACGCCATGAACCACAAAGCCCCAGGCACTCTCAGCATGCACAGTCTCTGTCTTTTCTGACTGGTGGCAATTCTGTGAAGGCAGGGATGGTGCCCTGTGACTCACCACTATCCCCCTAGTGCCTAGTGCGGGGCCTGGCAAATAGCAGGCACTTGCGAAGAGAATGGACAGCACTAGGTTATGTGGGCAGACACTATGCCTGGGGACTGGCTGGGCAGGACCTCCCCCAGCCTGGGGAGAGCCCATGGATACTCACACAGGGCTGGGCACAGAGCTCTCCAGTTCATCCAAGAGGCTCTCCACGCTGGGCCTCACATCTTCCAGGCCCCGGCCCCCATTCCGCTTAGGCTTCTCTTTCGTCAGGGGCCCAGCTTTGCCTCCCAGGGGACTGTTGTTCTCCGGGATGCCATAGTGTGGGCTCAGGGCCACAGGCAGTGGGGGGCTGGAGTTGGCCTCATCTTAGGGGGAGAAAGGGGAAGAGAAAGCCTGCTCAGCCCTGCAGCCCTCTGGGACCCAGAGGGCAGCAGTGGGCCTGGAGGTCTTGTGGGCCCCGGCCCCAGGGACTTGGTCCCACCTGCAGGAAAGCTGGGCACGTTGTGCTGCACGGCATTCAGCTCCAGCAGCAGGCGGTCGAGTTCCGAGAGGTTGCTGCCCAGGGAGGAGCTCATCACGGTGGGTGAGGGCTCAGCTGACTTCTGCTTGTTGGGGAAGCTTCGAGAGGCAGAGAAAGAAGACCATGAGAGATGCTTCCTAGCCTTGGACTGGTGTCCCCCAAATTCTCAGGAGAATAAGGCAGACAGGATAAGATGTCTGGTCTAGCAAGAGGACAGAGAGTGGGGAGAGGATGTGTCAAGACCAGGGCAGGAAAGAAGTCTTGCCTCAGTTCCTCCACCACATGGCAGAGCTGCCACAGCCAAGCCCAGGTGGCAGTGGTAGGTGAAAGGGCTCGTCGGAGGCATCATGGGCTTCCCAGGAGCCTCTGCGTGAAACCTCTTCCCAGTAATTCCTGAGGCAGTGGCCCTGCCTGCTCCCTGACCACCCACCTGACCACCCACCCTGCCCAGCACCACCCAGGTCCCGGGACTTCCAGGAAGAGGGCAGGTGTCCAGGGGGGCTGGGCTGTACCTGTAGACGTGCTCCTCCTCACCCACTCGGGAGCACGGAGCACCAAGGCTGTCCTGGGGGGTGGGCGCACTGGAGCCGTGCGCAGGTGACGGGGATGGAGGCTGCAGAAAAGAGAGTGCCGAGGCTGGTGGGACAGAGCCTCGCCCTGAGGAGCAGTACACCGAGTCACCCCCAACAGGCTCCTGCTCACAGACAGTCTCACCAGGGAATTTCCACGTTGTGGCTGGGAGACGGGTGATTAAGACTTGGTTCACTGCACTCCCCCTCACGTGGTAGGTGGAAGAACAGTATCTGGTGAGGGATGAATGTGTCCAGGCCCCCCCTCCCCATTCCTCAATTCCACTCCTCCCGTGGCTCCTCAAACCCCTGGCAGACAAGCTCCTTTTAGCCTAAAGCCTCTGGGGGCTTCCCAGCCCCTGTCCCCACCTTACCTGCTGGTGGACGAATCGGGGGCCACTGGGCTGCCACTGGTCTAAGGGGTCAAGGATGCTGCCATTGAGGGCCTCGCTGGACGGGGGTGGGGGGACTGGAGGTGGCACAGCAATGTCCTGGTAGGTGTGGTTTCCAGTTGGGTACGAGTAAGGTGTCTCCTCGGACAAGAACACGGGCCGTTTGGAGATATGGGAGGTGGTGGACTCCAAGTCTGCCAGCAGGGCGTCTGCAAAGAGAAGGCAGGGTAAGAACCTGGGACCTTGGGATCCTGCCAATGGCAGTGCCCTCCCCACCTGCACCCCAGGAATTAATGACTTCTGCGCACCTGCCCCACCCAGGAAGGAAATGACCAGCTCGGGCCAGGCATACACCAGTCCAGGGCCACCTGGTGAGAACCAGCTCCCAAGGTGAGCCTCTTCTGCCCTGACCAGAGACTGAAAGAGCTCCAGAGGCTCCTGGGCTGCCCCCTTGGAGCATCCTACCTCAGGGAGCCGGGCGCCTGCCTGGGCGTCCCCTCCCAACAGGGCTGGGCAGCCAGCTTGCTGTGAGGGAGAGAGAGATGCCTGCCTGGAACTCAGAACTCCAACTCCGCAGGGCTGCGCGGAGAAGGGGAAGGAGGGGCCCCACGTCACAGGGAGGCACCCGGGCAGTGCCAGGCCCTCACTGAAGTTCCAAGAGCTCAGGCTTTCCCAGCACCCAGACTAAGGGGGCACCTGGGGTGCTGCCCACCCTTCTGACCACGTGGAAGCTGACCCCTAGCCTCCGAGCTCCTCCTGAGGCTCTGGCTGTGCAGTGAGGTGTGTGTGGCTGAAATGAGGCCGGTGCAGTGGTCCCCACCCCCTTGGCCAAGCCGGTGGGGGGGGGCAGAACTGCTCTGTCGGCTGTTTCTGCAGAAGCCTGGCAAGCAGCCCGGCCCCAGAGGCTCCAGGGCCCCACGATCCGGCTTTTAAAAGCAGCAAGGGAATGGAACCAGCCCTCGAGTGCAAGATTCCATTACCCTGACAGTGGGGGGTGGGGGAGTGTGCTGAATCTCCCCAGTCTCCAGACAAGAAGGGGGCAGCTGGAGGGGCAGGAGTAGACCTGCAGCCCCCTGCCTCACCCTCCCCTCCTAGGACCCTCAACAGCCCACAGCCCAGACGGGCTCGGCCCAATACCACACCTCATTCCTGCATGCTTGCAGCCTTGCTCACTCATGGCTCCGCAAGACGTGCTGGGGTTGGGGAACCCCCATCCCTCAGGGATAAGCATCCTCAGAAGAGAAGGGCTGCACTTATCCCATTTACTAGTGACAGGTACCGTGCTGGCACTTTGCATACATGGCCTCACTGAATCCTCTTAACACCCCCTAAAGCTGGAATTCTGATCCCCCCTCACAGAGGAGGAAATGAGCTTCAAGGGGTGAAAGGCCTCCCCAGATAACACAGCTAGTGAGTGGCAGGACTGCCAGACTCCTCCAGAAGCCTCAGACCTCAAAAAACCGCCCTGCAGCAGTGGCTATGCCCCAAGATGACATCATATTTAGATGGCACAACTTCCTGAATTCTAGGGTCTGGGCTTGTGGTCCTGACCCTGCCACATCCCTACTTGCAGGAAGGCAGAGGGAAGCAAGGCCCTCACCCAGGGCCTCAGCCTGTGGGCCCACCCCTCCTCTCAGCCGACTGCCCTGACTTCCTGACCCTCAAGGCCCACATCTACCCCAGACTCCTGCCCAGATGGTCAGAGGGGAATCCTGTCCCAAGGCCCAGCAGCCCAGCACAGGTCTCCTGACTTCCTCAAATGATCAGTTCCTGCAGCCCCGACCCCACCCCCCAGGTCCCTTGGAGGAGGACCAACTTCCTCTCTCGCAAAACCGAACTAGAGGGAGTCAGTGTGCATGCAGGTAACTGTGGAAAAGGATCCCATGTCCAGGGCCAATCCCAGTGGCCCTTGCACAGCCACACTTGCTGCCTTGGCTCCACGCTGTCCCCATATCCTCTGGGCCCAGAACAGCAAAGGTGGGGTCCCTCCTTCTCCATCATGGGCATAGGGCTCCCCAGATCAAACAGCAAGTGTACCTGGTTGTGATAACAGGAGCAGCTCCTGTTCCTGAACGATCACCAGGTGCTGGGAGCCTTACCTGTTACCTCCCTGTATCCTCACAGCGACACTAGCACAGATGTTTATAAAACGGAGGCTCTGAGAGGCCAAGTCATGTCCCCACACTGCCAGAGCTGGTTTTAGGGACAAAGCTGGGATCTGAACCCAGGTCCCCTGGGCTCCAAAGCCCTCAATGGAAGACGAATGGTCAACGTTTCCTGTCAGACCTTCTGAACCAGGGACTCCACTGGTCCCTACATCACGCACCCTCACCCCATTGCCCCGACATGATTTTAAGTAGTCTACTTGGTTTATTATTTCAGTGGGCTCTTCTCAACACTGATACGTATGTTGGTCAAACTGTTGGGCAGAGGGTGTGGTCCTGGGAGACAGAGACAAAAGGTCACTAGTTCTGGAATTGAACCAGACCTGAGTTCAAGTCCCAGCTCCTCCAGCTACTATCCCATGGTTACAAAGCAAACTGCTTAACTCTCTGAGCCTCAGTTTCCTTGGTAAGCTGCGGTGAAAAACTTCTACCTTACAACACTGGTGTGAGGTTTATACAAGATAAATTTTTTCTAAAACCTGCTACTACTAAGTCACTTCTGACTTATGGCAACCCCAGTGTGTTACAGAGTAGAACTGCTCCATAGGGTTTTCTTGGCTGTAATCTTTGTGGAAGCAGATTGCCAGGTCTTTCTTCCGCAGTGCCACTGGGTAAGTTGGAATCATCAACGTTTGGTTCAAAGACAAGCACAAACCGTTTCTGTCTCTCAGGGACCATTTATACAGGACAAGCAGATGCTAAAATACACTGGCAACTGCAAACACTGATCATACTTGCTTTGCAAAACTCAGAAAAAAGATCTTCCTCTAAGAAGCACAGGGTACGATACAAAGTATTGACTTAGCCTCCTAAGTCTTGTAGAATCAGGATAAGACATGAAAAGGGCAACCTTGAAGAGAAAAGTGAACAAAGTAACACTCAAAGTGAAATATGTACAGGCGTCAGGAAGAAGGCCCTTCATTTTCCATTTTTTACCAAACCTTTGTCTGAGTGAGAGAGACGGACCCCAGCAAGTACATATACAAGTTACAGGGTCTCCGCTTTTAAGCAAAGCTTCCTCCTCTCTCCCTGCCCTGAGTCCTTGTCTAGTAGCCTGGACAGAACTTGCTGTCATTGTCCCACAAGACCCCCCTGCCCCACAAACCCCTTTGGGAAGACAGCCAAAACTGTAGGAGGCAGCCAAGGAGTAGACTCCGAGCTCCACTTCGGACTCCTGTGGGTGCAAATGCCTGCTATCTCCCCGCAGGCTGCAAAATGATTACAGGCCAAAGTCTCCTTGGAAGCTGAGTGGACTCCTCCCCTGGCTGAGTAAACAGAGCCAGCAGACCTAGGAGTGCATGAAGGTGCACACTTGCAAGTAGAGCCCCAGCCCAGCGGTGGAGGGTTCCCCAGGTTTCAGCTACAGCTACTCCCTTGTACCCAGCTCTAAATACCCTCGGGGCAGGCCCAGAAATTCCTTCTCACATCCCAAGGAAGGCATCAGGCAGCCCCACCTTCAGAAAAAATGATACCCACTGGAATACTGCAAGACCACAAACACATCCTCCCTTCTAGCACGTTCAGAGACACAGCCCAGATACCTGCCTAAAAGTAGTTGGGACTCCCTCATTGAGGCTTGGGAAGGCCCCAAACTTCACTGAGGTGCTGGGTCCAGGCCTGAGCACTCAGGACATTCCAGGGCTGCCAGGGTCACCCAAGTCCTCCTGCCAGGGAAGCTCTCCCTGGGGTTTCCCATCCCTTTTCTGGACGAAGCCTCTCTGGACTGGCTGGCCCAGGCCCTGGCTCTCCCATCCACAGCAGAAGGAAAGCCAAGGTCATCAGGACCAGCCCACATGTGTGTGGGTGGGGGTGGGGACGGGGACTCTCCTCTCGAGGCGGGGCAAGCTGGGTGCAAAGTCTCTAGTTGGCCAGGGGCAATGGCCACCGAGGCCCGGGAGGAAGAGGGGCCGGAGCGACCTCCGCTGGCCACCAGGGGGCACTATTGGCACACCGGCTTCCTGCTGCAGGGAGCAACCGAAGGTAACGTCTACAATCACGCAATTTTCGAGCCGGGGAAGACCGGGGAGACCCCCGCTATGGGCACACTGGAGAAGTTTCAATGCTGAGGAAGCTCAGTTGAGTTGGAGGAATGGCGCAGACTACGAGGAGGAGAGCAGGGAGGCCCAGGTGCCAAACCCGCGGGGCCGTGCCTGGAACGCACTATCTTTGGAACCCGCGACCCAAGACTGACTCACCCGGCGGGGCGCGGAGGCTGCTCTAGGAACCCCGGGGACTCACACTCTCACCTCCAGCGCCCCCTCCGCAGCAGGCATGGTGCTCTAGGGCCAGGCCCAGATGAACAACCCCCTCCCTGACCCCAGCGACTGGCCGGCAAAATCCTTTGGGCCAGATGGAGGACGCCTGGACTACAGCCCCGAGGGGGTTAAGGCACAGACACCCTGAGCCCGCTGCCGCGGGTAGAGGGGGCTGAGGGGCCGGTCGGCCCGCATTCCAGGGCGAATGCCACAGCTGCGCCCCTCGCAAGCACTCGGTGCGGCACCTTAGTCCAGCGGCGCCTCTGCTCAAACCAGTCCAAGGGTGCAGGATGGAGTTCAGGATCCCCTGACGCCCCCAACGTGGGGGGTGCTCCCGCTCCGGGCCGCTGCCCTGAGGGCTGACACAGTGGGCACCCAGTAACAGGTTAAAGCGAAGCAATGGATCCCTTCCGCCCCCACCCCCAGCCGTGTCACAGAAACAGATCGGGGCTCTTTACAAGCCTGGTTTCCTTCTCCCGCTCCAAGCCCCAACCACTTCTTAGGGTCTGATAACGACTGTCAGAACCATACGGGCGGTGCTGGGCAGGCGCCAAGAGATGTGATAAAAGTCCATCCACAGTGGCTCAAGAGTGCATGCCCCAGGAGAAGGCTGGGGGGGATGCGAAGGGAGCAACCAGAGCTATGTGATTCTCTCCATCCAGGATCTGGGGACACTGGACGTCAGAACTCACACAGTGGGACTCTGACACACAGACTCTGTGAGCTGCCTGGACAGGCTGCTTAACTGCTCTTGTGCCCCAGTTTGCTTGTCTGTCAAATGGGAATCCA